CAGATGGCGCAGCAGGACGACCTGGACCGGCAGGAGAACCAGGTGAGCCCTCAATCCGTCTCGCGCACGAACCTGCCGTTCGGCGCGAGAGGACGCGGCGTCCTTAAGAAATGTGCAAAAGCTAAACTAGAAAGTAGATCAAAATCGAAACTAGAAATCACTTCTAATACTGCAGCTGGCTCATTGATGCCAGGATTTAATTAACGAATGCAATGTAACTATGTGATTGAATAACCTAACAAGAGTAATTCAAGACTAAATAATATTAAATCAAATGATATATAATTAGGCTACATTACCTAATATATTGATATCATTTATAGTCACAATATACAAAGAGGAAGCCAAATTATCTTAAGTATATGATGCAATAACATGTAACAACAGGGAAAATGTCACAATATCCACAGGGGAAGCAAAAGTAACCTTCCTGAACCCTGTTTTAGATAGTGTGAATAATTCATTCTAGAAATTAGTGATCTCGAAGTGGCTTTGTTCTAGAAAGTTTAAACATATACTGTCTAAGTTCAGGAAAGAAAAAATTGGCTTTGTTCTAGAAAGTTTCAACATATACTAAGTTCCGGAAAGAAAAAATGGCAACTCAAGCCTCTAGAGCAGTCCGATGAGCCGTCTCTTCTGGTCATTTTAATTAGCTGACACTCAATACCTCAATTTTTCCATGTTTTATTATTATTAGTAGTAGTATCATTATTATTTTATATGTTTATGATACATTATTGAAAAATGCTGCTTTTACCGCGTTTCCTTAAAAGACCTGGCCAATCGGAGCGTTCCAGAGGGCGAGTTGCCAGTGAATGATTAATGCTCGTGAAATATTTGTGCCGAGAGGTTGACACGTTTTTCCCCCCGACCAGGCGAGCGCGGTGCGGAGGGCCTGCCTGGTAGGCGTGGCTTGATCGGCCCCAAGGGAGAGGAAGGCCGCCCAGGGCCCGTCGGACCTCAGGGCGAAGCAGGCCCGGCGGTAAGGGCGGCGACCTCTGCACCGCCAATGCGCGTGGTCGCCATCGCCAGCACCTTCATAATCATTTGTATTATTTCTTATAATCATCATCATTTATCTGCATCATCCATAGTAGATCCTCAACATACTACTTTACATCATGCCTTATCATCATTTTTTATGATCACTAGCGTTATTATTGATATTATTAATAGTGTTCTTGCTACTTTTTGTTTTTTTCTTGTTTTTATTGTTACTGTTGTTGATGTTACCGTTGTTATCACTGATATTATTATCATTTTTATCTTCATCATCAATCATCATTATTGTCTGTCATTATGTTGTTGTTTTATTATTATTATTTCTATATCTAATCATCATTATTATTAATACTACCACTTCCGTTATTCTTATCATTTTCATTTTTATCATTAATCATTATCATTGTTGGGCTGTTGTGTTGATATTATTATCATTGCTGAGTATGTTGTTATCATCATCTTCATCATTGTTACTATTATCATTATCATTATTATTATTGCTGTTGTCGTTGTTTTTATTATTACTATTATGGTTATTGTTCTTATTATTATTATCATCATCAATATTGTTGTTTTTTCATTATTGCTATTGTTGTTATTTTTCGTTGCTGTTGTTGTTTTTATCCTTACTATCATTATTATTATTATTATTATTATTATTATTATTATTATTATTATTATTATTATTATTATTATTATTATTGTTGTTACCATTGTCATTCATATCATTATTATCATTACTATGATTGTTATCATTATCTTTATAGTATCATCCTCATCCTCATCACATAGTCATCATGATCACATTATCATCATCATCATCATCACATCATCATTATCACCATTCTTATCATCAACATCATCATCATAATCATCATTATCATTTTTATAGTGGTAATAATAACGAGTATTATTGTCATTAATATTGTTATTACTATCTCATATCATGTTTATTACTATTCTTAATGTTGTTATTGTTGCTGGAGTTGTTATTGGTGTTATTATCATAGTAGAAGTAGTAGTAGTACTATTATTAGTAGTAGTAGTATCATTATTATTAAAGATATAACGATTATTATTATTACTGTTATTGTTATTGTAATTGCCATTATTGTTATAATCATTATTATTATTATTATTGATATTATTATTATTATTATTATTATTATTATTATTATTATTATTTATTATTATATTATTGTTATTATTATCATTATCATTATTATTATTATATTATTATTATTATTATTATTATTATTATTATTATTATTATTATATTATTATTATTATTATTATTATTATTATTATTATTATTATTTATATATTATTATTATTTTATTATTATTATTATTAATTATTATATTATTATTTATTATTATTATTATTATTTCATCATTATTATCATTATTATGTATGTTATCATTATTATTAACCAATTGATTATTATTTTTATCATATTTATTGTTATTTATTATTCAGTAGTAGTATTAGTAGTAGT